GGAACCCAAACCCAGACCAGTGGTCATTCCATATGTTGAGGGAGTATCAGAGAAACTGAGACGTTTATTTTCTAAACATAACGTCCCAGTGGATTTTAAACCCCAAAATACATTACGGCAAAGACTGGTTCATCCCAAAGATCCAGTCCCCCGGCACAAACAGAGCAATGTTGTGTATGCTGTTCAGTGTCAGGAGGGCTGTGATCAGTCTTACATCGTGGAAACAAAACAGCCACTGGCCAAAAGGATGGCCCAGCACAGAAGATCATCATCATCAGGCCAGGACTCTGCGGTCTACACTCATCTCCAGGCCAGCGGTCACTCATTCAGGGATGAAGATGTTCACATCCTGGACAGAGAGGAGCGATGGTTTGAGAGAGGAGTAAAGGAGGCCATCTTTGTGAAAAGAAATCGTCCATCGTTAAACGGGGTGGAGGCCTCCGGGTTCAACTGTCCCCCTCTTACAATGCTGTGATTGCTAGTATCACTCAGCCCTCTGTGAATAGTAAACAGCCATCAGTGTGCTAATGATCCATTGTTAGGTTGATGGTCCTTCTTGAGCATGTGATCAGCTGGTTTTGGTTGTCAGCAGCAAACTGGTTGATCCACTCTGAGAAGGTGCTATTTAAGAGACTGAGCTGAATACAGCACCTCAGACTGAGGAAGTCTCTCGGATGAGAGACGAAACGTTTCTACATTTTTTTTGTTGATTTGCTTTGTTTTGAATGTCCAGAGGACCAGATTGAACTTTTTTAGATTCAGAAGAAGTTGCTTTTCATAGTTTTTTTTTTTGGTCCAGTCTGGCTCTTTTGGCAGAGAGAATCTGTCCTGCTGTACTGAACAGTCTTTCAATAAGGCCATAGATTGTGTGTATCTTCTGGCTGACTCTCCACGGTGGAATCCATTTTGGGTGGGTAAGCGGTGCTGCAGGTAAAGTCGAAAGTACCCACGTTTAACTCTACTTAAGTAAAGTACAGATACATGAAAAATGTACTTAAGTACAATAACAAAGTACTTGTACTTGTACATCTCACTACAGGACTAATCACAGCCCTCCTGACACTGAACAGCATACACAATATTACTCTGTTTGTGCCGGGGGACTGGATCTTTGGGATGAACCAGTCTTTGTCGTAATGTATTTTGGGGTTTAAAAGCCACTGGGACGTTATGTTTAGAAAATAAACGTCTCAGTTTCTCTGATACTCCTGCAACATACGTAATGACCACTGGTCTGGGTCTGACTGCAAATACTGGTCTGTGTGGGCTGGTTTGCGGTACACCTCAGTTTGTAAATGTGCTCTATCAGAAACTGAGACGTCACAGTCCAAGAAAGCCAACCTGCCATTTTTTACATCTTCTCGTGTGAACTTGATGTATTTATCCACAGAGTTGATGTGAACAACTAGTTTTGAATGTTAACAACAAACTGGTCGATCCACTATGAGAAGGTGCTATTGATAAGACTGAGCTGAATACAGATCCTCAGACTGAAGAAGTCTTTTGGATGAAAAACAAAACGTTTCTACATTTTTTTGTTGTTGTTGTTGTTTATTGAGCCCGTCCAGAGGACCAGACTTAACTTTTTTGGATTGTTCTACCTGAATTATTGAGCATGCATCTGGATATATAGAGTAATGCAAGACAAACTTCAATTATCTGCAAAAAGCACATTAAGCTAAAGCAGCTGACTGAACCATAAATTATATCAGTGAACTTGATTTCATCGCTCTCTAGGGAAAATAATACACGGTCAAAGGAAAAAGAACATTTGAGTGTGAGATTGACAGAACACCTTCCACAGAGTGATGATGCCCTCTGAACCATTTCAGTTCTGCTCAGGCCTGAGAACACAACCACACAGACTGTTTGTGTGTGAGTAATTTCTTCCTTTAGACGTTTGTGTCCATGAAGAATCAACTTCATGCCCCGTCTTCCCCCTTCTTCCCCACCCACTCTGATCTATCCACTGTCTGTGTGTCACCCAGATTAGATGAATATGCATGGTATTAAAATGAGGGTCATGGCAGCGCTGGTTGCAGGGTAGACACAGGAGTGTTGCCATGGTGATGAGCGTTTGATTTAGGTTAAATGAGATACCTCTTTCAAACAGCCTGAAACTTTGATACGATTTGGAGGGGAATTATAAATATTTTGCCTAATAAAGATAAAAAATAATTTGAGTTATTGTTGATGGTTAACGAGAGGTCACAAAACTAACTCCTGTAATTAAGCAAATTTAAAGATTTGGAGTCTGATGTGCTGTATCTGTAGTCCTCAACATCAGGACAGGTGCAATAGTCACAGCTGTTTGGACTAGAAGCTCATGTTACATGTGTTTAGTGAATGAAATGAAGTACAGACTAGATTCCAACTGACCAACATGAGCATGACCTTATCCATCATTATGTAAAGAACAAGGCCACAGCACTGACTACTAAAGGAGGCTATGAAACACTTAATATTATACTGATTTTTCTTTTAAACAAATTATATTTTCACATCGGCTCTTTTCACTGACAGTCAGGCCTTTAATTCACTAAAAGATGATAAATAAGCTAGCCAGATAGGTAAGTAGGTAGAGTGTGACAGGCAGGTAAATAAATAAATCTGGAAGGTCTTACTCTGGGCATTCATTGACATAATTGCATCTTTTTTATTTATTTATTTTAGATCTACCCAAATGTATTATTTTCTACACTCTGTTTTAGACCAGCTGTGTGTTGAGCTAATTTCTGTTTTCAACGCAATTTTTCTTATTTTATTTCCCAATCCTATTTTTTGATAAATTATGTTTTCACATTAGAAATTTGTTAAATTACATTTTGGGATTTTGTATGATCTGTAAGTGTCTTTTGGAAAAATTCTTCAAAGGTCAAATATTCATGCTCTGAGTTCTCTGCATTCCATCTTCACTGGTTTTCTCTTGTGTTTAGGACAAAGCCCCATTCACAATGCAGGGCTGAAGATTTTATTTTCCAAACTGATGAAGAAAAAGTGCTGAATTTTAATGCTAGCAATATCAACATCATTACCTTCTCTCAAATCTAATGGAAAAAATAGTTGAGGGGCACAAGCAAACCTGTTCACTTTCAGCTAATGTGTTTAAGAGAAACACAGACCTTTTTTAAAGACAAGGTATAGATTATGCATGTATAATCCTAATTATAGCACGTAAACCTCAACCTTATATCTCACTATTTTCCTGAAACATTTCCTAATACCTTCCAAAAGTTTGGGGATATTTAAAGAAGCACACACAAAAAAAAAAAAAAAAAGCCAGTTGAGATATAAGCAGACCATTATTTCTAATAAACATTTTGTACTGTAGAACTGGTTAACAGTAACATTTGTATGTATGTATGTGAATGTATGTATTGTCAAATATATAGTCACTAAACTTTGTAACATTCATAGTAACCAAAACATCATAAGAAGCTGTAAGTTTGCTGCAAGCCTGGGAAAGAATACAATAACGTTGAGAGGTAAAGATTTATTTGTTGAGAGAGAGAGATTCTTTATTGTCATTCGCACCACATGTGGTACATGTGGTGGACTGAAATTATGTACACAGGGTCCCAGTTACATCCAACAATAAATGTAAAAGAAAAACAGTAATAAGATCTAAGATATGAACTAAGACTATGAACTAAGAAAAAACATCAGCTAAAAATATGCTAAGCGCTAATAGCATAAAAACAATAAATACAATAGGCCGAACAGCAGCATGAACATGAGTTTGTGTGAGCAGATGAGCACGAATGAACACATCAACATGAAACAGATCAGCAGCAACATGATGTGATTTTCCACAGTGATTATCCTGGTTAGAGATTCATGAGTCTAACAGCCTTAGGGTAGAAGCTGTTCCTCAGTCTAGTGGTTCTACACTTAATGCGCCTTAACCTCCTTCCTGAGGGGAGTGGGGCAAAAAGTGTGTGTGCTGGGTGAGTGGGGTCCTGCATGATGCAGGTGGCCCTCTTCCTGCATCTGGAGGTGTAGATGTTTGTGATGGTGGGGAGACTGACTCCAACTTATTGTAGTTTACAATATTTTATATTATAAATTATATATATATATATATTACAACAGTGTACTTTTTGTTTTAAACACAAGCTGTTATTGTCTATACACTCATAAGATTGACATTTGCAGGATTAAATCTATACAGATAGGGATATGTGGATAGAGTTAAATAATGCTATGGTTTTAACCCTAAATGTCCAGGCTGCTGCTTAATATACCATATTATTTTACATTATTAGTGTTTAGCATATATCTTGGATCCTGTTTTATATATTTTGTTCCACATCATGTACCACATGAAAATAACAATTTATAAACCTTGAAACTAAAGTGCAATTTTAGAGTAGTGTATAATGAGTTTTTATAGCTTACTGTAAATGGATTAAGTTATATGATGCAGCATATTCTTTGGCCTACTTTTGATCAGTTTATTGCCAGAACTAGTCTGCTTTTACGACTTTAGTGGCTTGAAATGAAACGAGAAACAAACTCACAGTGCTGTAAGTTTTCAGTGTTCTGTTGTATTTAAGTACATTCTGTAAATTATACTTCTCAACAAAATGCTTACATTTTTAAAAGTAATAAATGTATCTACGTCTTTATCTACGTTTGTCTCGTACATTTTTAAACCAAGGAACGAATTAATTTGATAATCATTAAGATTATTATCATCTTTTATGGTTATTAAGTCAATATTAATAATTAATGTATGTTAATTAAGATTTGTTGATTATGACCACAGCTATCCGTGTAGAATGGTGAAAATAGTTGATTAACAAGGACTTTGTTAATGAAATACGTTTTATTTTAATAAAATGAAACATTAACCAGCAGCGCAAACCACAGTTTAACAAAGGCGACAAGATATGTAAATGTTCTGAAACTTGGAGTGCCCTTTGTTCCGTTGGTACTTGAAGGCATCACGGTTCCTTACACGTGCCGCACCTCTGCCTGGTCCGGTCAGGTAACAAAACTTCCCCGGCTCTTTTCTACCTGTGTTGTCGCGAGGTTTATCACCCAGCAGCACGCGCTGTGTGCGGGTGTTTGTGTCATAGAGCTCCGGGTGGGAGAACCATGGCTGAGTCCCAGCTCATGTGCATGGAGGATGGTCGCATCGGAGCCAAAGTCCCGGAGTCCAAACCGGAGTTTTACTACAGTGAAGAGCAGCGCGCGGCGGTCGAGGAGCTGCTGAAGAATGGCGACGGCGCCTTCAAGACTCGACTCAAAGAGGCGAAAATGACGGACTTTCTGTCGGCGCGGGAAATCAAGCTGTTGTCGAACACTTTCAAACAGTACGACTCTGGTAATGAGAGCGACAGCAGCGCCGCCAGGTCGGAGCAGGGAGCCTCCGGACCCGACGCGGACTCGGGAGTCCACTCCACCTACTGGCCCCAGATGTCGGACACCGAGGTGCCGTCCCTGGATATCGGCTGGCCCAACACGGGCTTGTTCAAAGGGGTGACCAGGGTGGCCGTGCACACCCACCCGCCTAAAGACAACGGACCCCACATCAAGGAGGTGGTACGGAGGCTGATCCAGGAGGCCAGCAAGGTGACTTAACTGGGCTGTTTTTATTTTTATTTAATCAACAACCAAACCACGATTATACATGAATTACACAGCAAAAATCTAAAACATAGACTGCTATTTATTGTCCTCAATACAACATGACGTCATAATGACGTTAGACAAATCTAAAAGACTTTCAGAAGCAATAAATGGCTTTCCTGACCACGACATTACTGAATATGTTAATGTCTAAAGTGAGTCATAGGGCAATGTGTGTGTGGGCCACTCTCAGGAAGTTCCAAGTCTTTTATATCCTCAGTAAATCCTGGAATTCCCTTTTATTCATTAGGTGTTAGTCACTGGGTTCAGTGTTTTTTGTAGCATCAAAGCATGTGCATGGCTTTGCAAATAAGGACGGGGGGAGGGGGGTGTTAAATGTGAAATGTAAAAGGCGATCCTGCTTTTTAATCCAATCAACACCAGAACACAGTCAAGTAAGTTTGATACATGGAGAGGGAGGATGAGGGGAAGTACTAAAATTCTTCTTTCATCTTTTCCCTCTTCAGGGGCCTCCACAGCGAGTCATCCTCCTCCATCTCTCTCTGTCCTCACTCCAACTACCTCCATGTCCTCTCTAACTGCATCCATATATCTCCCCCTTGTCTTTTTCCTGGCAGCTGCATTTCTAACATCCTTCTACCAATATACCCACTGTCCCTCCTCTGGACATGTCCAAACCATCTCAGTCTGGCCTCTCTAACTTTATCTCCTAGTTATTTAACATGTGCTGTTCCTCTGCTGATCTCATTCCTAATCTTAGGGTGCATTCACATCAGCCCTGTTGTCCCGGACTCTAGCACGTTTGCCGAGAAAATCCGGTTCGTTTGGGGAGGTGTGAACGCGCTGTCGAACTCTGTCACGGAACTAAAAGGCGAACTCTGGCCTGGTCTAAAACCTAAGTCTCGGTCCGGTAGAAGAAAACTCTAGCGCGGTTCGAGTACAGTGTGAATGTTAGCAGAACGGGCGCTGCTCCACAAGCAGGAAGTGGACTACAGCGCAGGACAAACAAACACGCATTTCTCTTACCTCATATGGAGCCGTCAGCTGCCTTGTGTGAAAAACAACATTCTCCATGGTCTTCTGCCTCATCTTCTGCTCATGCTGAGTCCATTGTTGAAAAATGACCAAATAGAACTCCTAAAACTGCTAAAATATGACGCCACTCCGTTTTTGTTTTTATTTCCAGAAGAAGAAGAAGTGTCTTCTTCAGAGGTTTTTGTGTAGTTTCTTTCAGCAGTTCTTGGTGCAGCACCACCACAGGCGAGTGGGGGAACAGGTTGGCTCGACTGCACAGTGCAGTGTGAATGCAAACACACCAGCTCAAATGTAAACAAAATGTCATGAATATTGGTCCCCAACCGAACCGAGTCTACCGGACTATCAGGTGAGAATGCACCCTAAGGAGAACCTCAACGTCTTCATTTCTGCCACTTCCAGTTCTTTCTCCTGTCTTTTTGTCAATGCCACTGTCTCCAGACCGTACAACATAGTTGGTCTCACCACTGTCTTTTCTTTGTGGGAAAGTACTAATAGGCTTGTCACGGTAACAAATTTAGCTGGGCGATTGCAATAAACGATAACATTGTTTGAAATTTGACAATAATTAGTAATTATTGTCAAATTTAAGAAGACATTTTGGTTAATTTGTTTTGCATGTAGTGTTAGGAGTAAAATAACCTTTGATGATAAATTGTGGAAAATAACATAATATGAGTTGGTGAATATAAGGTTTAATTATGGATTATGGAACATAGATCATATAAAGATGACTAGAATATCTATCAGATATGTAAACTAGACCATAAGCTGATAAATAATATATTTTTAGTGACTGCTAACTTTTAAAATCAACCATGACACTTTCTGCTGTCAGTAAGAAAATAGTTCCTTATAAGGCCTTTAACGAGAAAACAAAACAACTCAAAGGTTCTTGTTCAGTTAAATTATAGTTCACATCATTTGAGTATGTGTATGGATTATAAAATAATTAACGATGAGTTAAAGTGCAGCTTAATAGGTCAGAACAACCATAGAGCAATCTGACTTGATAATGTGATGGGTTACCCAGGAGATAATCAGAATCTCAGTCTTCGTAAGATTATGTAAGACTGGTGCTTGTAATGTGTCACGTACTCAGTGGAAAGAGATGGTGGCTAATGTATGCCTGATTGATTGGACAGGGACTTCAGAGAGTCTGTAAGGTGTTTATTGGACAGGAATTTAAAACAGGAAGTGTCA